GGATGGAATCAGCCATCCGCCAGAGTGTTATAGAGGAACTACAGCACATGTCCAGATCAGGCTTCTCTCCTCGAGTCTCCGAGCACGACTCCTTGTCTATCAGATCCCTTCCACAACCGGTCCCCCCGGTTGCTCAGGTACTCTCTCAGAGGGACAGCCCTCCTCCGGTTGGGGCCCAGGTTGAGGAGGAAGGGGACTTTAGGGATTTCGAGGAGGAGGATTCCCAGATGGGATCCTCCCGCTACAGTGACCCTCCCTTAGAGACTGACATCATGGAGGGGGAGATGTCCGAGGACGAGGGCACTTCGACTGACCAACCCTCCTTTGGGGGGCTCTTCAAACCACACATGTTCAAGTCCCTCCTTCTTAAGGCCAAGAATGTCTCGGGCCTTCTTTCCCAGGCCCCTGCTGACCTCCCCCCCATCCCAGAGGGCCCAGAAGATTCCATTTTCACCCAACCAGTGGTTGAAGCTGAGGTCATCCCTTCCCCCCCCATATTCGTAGATCTGGTAGCGAAGCAACTATCCTCCACAGGGACCCCTCCCACACCCTCTAGCCAAGACAAGAGGTTCTTTAATCTCGATTCGGCACTGTCCAGCCTCCTGAACATTCCAGAGGTCGATGACCCTATTGTGGGTCTAGCTTCCTCCTCTACACCTAGTGAGGCCCTAGAGGCCTTGAAACCTGAGGATAAGCGGGTGGAGCTGGCCCTGCGCAGGGCCCACCTATCCGACGCCTGGGCCATTAAGTCAGCTACCGCCGCCTCTTTTTTCACTAGGTCCTCTATCCGCTGGCTACGTCAGCTCAGGGAACACGTCCCTGCTTCCAACCTGAGGGCGCACCAGGACATTGCGAAGCTAGTGGCTGCAGCCGAGTTCTCGGCTGATGCCACTTACCAGTCGGTGAAATTCTCTTCCAGGGCCATCACGTCCCACGTCACGGCTCGTCGCCTGCTATGGCTCAAACACTGGCAGGCGGACGTAAAGAATAAGGTCAAGCTGGCCACTGCCCCTATTACAGGAGACAAACTGTTTGGCCCGGCCCTCGAACCCCTGCTGGTCGAGGGTCGCAGCAAGAGGAAGTACTTGCCTTCCCTTCTTCGAAGATCGGAGACCAGGGGCTCTCAGCCTTTTCAGAGGAGCTTTCCCCGCCCTTTCTACCAACCCCCCTTCCCGCCCAGATTCCCCCGACCCCCTTCCTTCCGATCCCAGGATCGCACGGACTCAGGCGACAGGACCAGGCGAGGGGGTGGTTATAAGAGACCCTTTCGGGGTACGGGAGGAAGGCCCTACCGCAGAAGGTAGAGCCTCCTTCTCCCTCCCCATTGGTGGCCGCCTCCGCCACTTCGCCGCCCAATGGGACAAATCCACTTCCGATGCATGGGTTAGAGAGACAATAAGATTTGGTCTCGCCCTCGAGTTCAAATCCACTCCCCCTGATCGTTTCTTCCCATCCCCCTCCTCAGGGGATCCCACCAAACGTGCATTAATGGAGGCAGCCATCCATCACCTGCTTGATATTCAGGCCATTCAACCTGTCCCTCCGGCTCAGAGAGGAAAGGGATTTTACTCCCATCTCTTTGTCGTGCCCAAACATTCTGGGGGCTGGAGAGCCATCCTAGACCTGAAACGGCTCAACCGTCACCTTATCCAGCGCAAATTCAAAATGCACACCTTGCAATCCATTCTCCTAGGCACCAGGCGGGGAGACTGGCTGTCCTCCATAGATCTCTCTGAGGCATACCTTCATATTCCTATCAGGCCCTCTCATCACAAATTCCTTAGGTTCTGTTATAATGGCCTTCACTACCAATACGTGGCCCTACCCTTTGGGCTGGCCTCGGCCCCCAGGACCTTCACCAAGGTCCTGGCGGCCCTGGCGGCCCACCTCAGGAGCATTCCTGTCCGCCTCCACTGCTACTTGGACGATATCCTTATCCTGTCCCCGTCCAAGTCCCAGGCAGTCAGGGATACCAGGGTCACCCTTTCCGCCCTACGGGCACACGGGTTTCTAGTCAATTGGCAAAAGAGCCAACTTACCCCTTCCACCCGAATCAACCACCTGGGTGCCATAATTGATTCGGTCTCAGAGAGAGTTTTTCTCTCCCCAGAGAGGTTTCTTAGCATTCAAACCCTGGTCAAACAAATTAGACGTTCTAGGAGGGTGGCCTTGCTTGACCTCTCTAGATTGTTGGGAAAAATGGTGTCATGCATCTCTATTATTCCCTGGGCCCGCTTACACAGCAGGCCCCTCCAGTGGTTCCTGCTCCCGTTCCAAAGATCCGGAAGAAGCAACTCGAAGATCAGAGTCAAGGTCCCTCCAAAGGTCCTCACGTCTCTTCTCTGGTGGACCAATCCCGCCATCAACAGAGGCCACCTCTTTGCGGAGCCTCAAAGACTCACCGTCACTACCGACGCAAGTCTATCCGGTTGGGGCGCTCATCTCAACTCACTCTCGGCGCAAGGCAAATGGTCGCCGACCGAACAAAGATGCAGCATCAACTGGCTAGAGCTCCATGCCGTCCATCTGGCTCTGCGCTGCTTCCCCCAGATCCGCAGTCGCCATGTTCTCGTTCTCACAGACAACGTCACGGCCAAGGCTCATATCAACAGGCAAGGGGGCACCCAGTCAATTCAACTGATGAGGGAAGCCGAGCGCCTTTGCCGCTGGGCAGAGGCCAACCTCCTATCACTAAAAGCCGAACACATCTCCGGGATAGACAATACCCAGGCGGACTGGCTGAGCAGGGCCACGGTGGACCAAGCAGAATGGCGACTTCATCCATCCCTGTTCGAGGAAGCGTCCAGGATATTCGGCCTTCCAGTGGTGGATCTGTTCGCTTCCCCATCCAACACACAACTTCCACGGTTTTTCTCCCGGTATCCGTCTCACGGGGCGGAGAACCACAATGCTCTGCGCTGCCCATGGCCCCCAGGGCTCCTATATGCCTTCCCTCCGCTCCCGCTAGTGCCCAGAGTCATTCAGAAACTCATTCAGGAGAGGGCAGTCCTTCTCCTGGTGGCTCCCTATTGGCCCAGGCGACCGTGGTTTGCGGACCTCCGCAACCTATCGGTAGCGCCCCCATGGCGGATCCCCCCGGACAGGGTCTCCCTCTCTCAGGGGCCCCTTCTACATCCGGAGCCTCAATGGCTACAGTTAGCCGTCTGGAAGTTGAGCGGATCCGTCTGACTAGCGAGAACCTATCAAGCCATGTCATCGACACTATTTTGGCCGCCAGGCGACCCTCCACTACACGAATTTATGATGCCACTTGGAAGGGGTTCTGCAAGTGGTGTAGTGGGTCCCAGGTTGACCCTCTCTCTCCCTCCGTGGCTCAGATTCTGGAATTTCTTCAGGAAGGCCTTCGCAAGGGGCTTGCACCTAACACCCTGAGACGACAAGTCTCTGCCCTCTCAACAGTGGTCTCCTGTGATAACTACGGCTCCCTTTCCCATCACCCCCGGGTTAGATCCTTCCTTAGGGGTGCCACCAACCTGTGCCCTCCCACTGTTCACAGGTTTCCCACATGGGACCTCAACAAGGTCCTAGTTTCTCTTACACGTTCTCCGTTTGAGCCTTTGAGGGAGTCATCTCTTCAGTTCCTCACCTTTAAGGTAGTTTTTCTAGTAGCCATCACTTCTGCTCGTCGAGTGTCGGAATTAGCAGCTCTGTCAGTCAGGAGCGATCTATGTGTGTTCCATGCAGACCGGGTCGTCCTGCGGCCTGACCCCACTTTCCTACCCAAAGTTAACTCGCCCTTCCATAGATCTCAGGAACTGGTTCTACCAAATTTTTGCCCTAGACCCTCCGGGAACAGGGAGGTTCTTTGGCACACCCTAGATGTTAGACGGGCCTTGCGTATATATATTAAGCGCACTCAGTCCTTACGAAGGTCGGAATCTCTTTTCCTGTCCTTTCAACCCAAGACACTAGGGCTCAAGGTTTCTCCTTCCACTATCAGCCGCTGGATCAGGGCGACCATCGCCAGGTGTTACCTTTCCCATTCTCTGCCGGCACCCGGTGGAATAACTGCCCATTCCACCAGGAGTGCAGCCACTTCGGCGGCCTGGGCCACACAAGCCCCCATTGCTGACATTTGTAGGGCAGCCACCTGGGCCTCTCCGTCCCCGTTTATCAGGCATTACAAGATCGATACGTATGCCTCAGCTGAGGCCTCCTTTGGCCGGCGGGTCTTACAGAGGGTTGTCAATGATCCGGAGGGGCCTTCGGGCCAGACGGAGTCCCACCCATAGGACAGCCAAGCTTTGGTATGTCCCACAGTCTGGATGCTCCGAGCGGCTCGAGGGAGAATGGGGCGTTGGTCCTTACCTGATACGCCCCTTCTAGGCGAGCCGCGAGGAGCATCCAGCCCCACCCTAGCATCTCCGTCTGGTGGGGACTCCTGTTTTCAGCCAAGGAGCCAATAGTTGATTAGATAGGATTAATAACTTCTCTTCTCGTTATCGCAAAAAACTGGGGAGACGCTGCGCGATGCCACGTGGGAGGGGCGGAGCGTTTCCTCGTCTAAAGCTCAGCCTGAAAGAAGAGGACTCAGAAGCACATCCCCACAGTCTGGATGCTCCTCGCGGCTCGCCTAGAAGGGGCGTATCAGGTAAGGACCAACGCCCCAATTTATTTGAAATTGTATAGGGTTTCCTACTTGAGCAGGAGGTTGGATTAGATGACCTCAAAAGCCTTCCAATCTATGAACTTCCTAATAGAATGCCCTGATTAGCAGCAGTAGATCCCAGATATCCTCAGTTATCCTTGAGTGCATCTTTATATACTTGAACAGGTGAAACTCCTTGTTGTACAAATATGTGATGGAAAAACTTTACTGTTGCCTGGTTGCTTCACCTGTGGGAGGGAAGAAACCCATTTGCATTCAGACAGTGATTGTTCAGTTTGTCTTTTACCCTTTCCAATGCAGCTTCCTTTTCTGTTGATATAAATTATTTCTTGAATATCATAAGCCTATCCAGGGTCATAGAATGCTGAGTTTATAGGTGCCTCTTGTAGCATTCACCTTGTTTGGAAGTCCAGCCAATTGAAATGTTCTTCTCCTTGTGGCTGCTAGCAGATATCCTGCTTCTGGTGGGTTAGTGAAGTGGGAGGAGCTTCCTCCTTCTGCCTCGTCCCTCTTGCAGTTCAATGTTTTTGCCACAGTTAGCTCAGATCCCTTAAAGGGCAGAGGTTTGCTTCTCAGTATACCACAAAGGAAGGGAGCAGCATTTCCATTACTTTAAAGGTGAGTGTTGAGAATATCTTGATTTGTGACATTTTTGTGTGAATGACTTTTTTAAAAAGTTAATCTTTGAAAAAGTTTCTAGCTTAATATGCAGAGGAAAGAACTTTTTTACATTCAACTTGTCTTTAAAATTAGGTTATTTTAGCAGCAATAAATATTTTCAAAATAAAGTTACAGATTTGAATTTTCCCATTGAAGCGAATGTTGCAATCTTGTATCTACTTACCCAGAATGAGACACATTGAACTCAGTAGGATATCTACATAAAGAAGTACATAGAGTATATGTTTTGTAGGATAGAAGATACCATAAATACAATGTGGATTAATAACTAAGAGTTATTAAGAGGTAATATATAATTTTGAATATGATAATTATTTAGGCAATTATTGTAAGTACAGTCTCCAGGGCAGCCTTTCCCAAATGGATGCTTTCTAAATGCATTGAAATTACTGAAGTTAATTAATCAAAAATAATATTTAGGTTATATTGGACTCCCAAAGTAATATATTTGAAAGGGTAGAAATGTTTTTTTTTATGCTGGAAGTGTAAAAAAAATTGAAGTCATTGATCATATTATATGGTCATATGATAATTGAATAACTTTTTGGGATTGTGTATTAATGTATATTTGTAGATTTATGGCAAAAAAAAATAAAATGTTAAAAATGTGCATGCAATGTTGAATTTTATACCAAAGCTTTGGAATTTGACTTTTTAGAAGGAATTGTAATTGTATCAATTATTGTATTAAATTGGAAAAGTGATATTATTCCAGATGTCAAGGAATGTTTGCTGGAAATGTGTGATGTATCTGTTTTGGAAAAGGCAATATTTTCTAATCAAAGGATGTAGCAATATGTGTCACTATGGTAGAGATTTTGTGGTATCTCACAATCTTATTTTGCTTATAGTATTCAATTCGTTGGTAAACAAGTAACTTTTATACCGGTAAGTATAAAATATAAGATTTTGTTTGTAACTTCAGTTTGTATTTTTAATTTTATTTTCTTGTTGGTTAAGAAAAGTAAAGATATTAAACATTAAAAAAAATGTAGGTTTTGGCTATTCCAGATAAAGTAATTGATGTGGGAATACTGAGTGACCACTTTAGCAGCTGATTTTTAAAAAAATAGTTTCAGTTATCCAAGTTACATTTAAAGCATAAGCAATGAGGGATGATGGTAGCTCAGCATGCATAGAAAACACCAACTTCTTGGAAACAATTTTGGGAAGCATTTTGTATTGGGTATAACAATACTTAATGTCGTGTTTTAAGAGTTTGGATTAGAACCCTACAATTTACCACTGCACTCTCTTTAGTTAAGAAAATAACATTTTGAAGAAAAGTTTACTGGAAAATTTTATAAAAAAAGAGCGATAGAGCTGTATTAGTGATTGTTCCTCTAAAGCACGTCACATTATTTAGCAAGGTTCATTTGTACTATGCAGTAAGACCAGGTTTAGCTGTGCTTATTAATCTAAAATTGCATGGGTTCTCTCAGTGCTAAATCATGAGTGAACCATGATGTATAAGCAGTGGCTAAGCCAAATCAAAAATAATTTTGCATGCTTTGTAAACCCCACCCTGTTTACATATCTTGGGGTAAAATAGTAAGACTGGTAGAAATTGTACTTAAATTTGATGGCTGCTAGAGAAATATTGTTACTAATCCAGTAGACTGTTGCTTAAAGAATGCAATTGTGGATTGCAGTGCACTTGAAAATAACATGGGATAGATTATAACAAACATCCATGTTTCTGCACTTCCGAAATCCACCTGTACTTAAAAACCTTAATGATCCTTTATAAATAGAGAATGTATAAATCAACTGACATTTAAATTAAACTTTATTAATATCCTTACCATAGCTGAAGACTAGAACTAAATATATAGTTGCATGGCCTATTAAACGCTGCACGTTTGCTGTACAGGAAAACTTTGGCTATTATGATTTAGACAGTCTGTGTAATCTATTGCATTAAGGCTCCTCCTAAAATGTTACAATGAGTTATGAAGACATTCCCGAACCTCTTGTGAGACTGACTGGTAGTGGGATCGGGATGAACAACAATAAAAAACATTGGATGACTTTTGGTACTACAAATGATAATAGTGATTAAAGATTAAAATATTATTCCAGGACAGATGCTCATCAGAGCATTACTAATTTGTTTAGGAGACAGGTGTTTCTTTTTCTAGTCAGAAGAGGCTGATAGTGGTGGCCTGGATGAGTGCAAACAAACTTCATATAGTTATGATGGAGATGGTGTTGGGACTTTAAAAGTCTATGCAGCTCTCAGCCTTATAACATTTGAACATTGCTAAAAACTTGGTGGTTCTCCCAAGACATGGGATGGATTGGCTGTGGATCCTGGTATGGTTTAATGCAGTTTAATCTGGTTTAACATTCTGGTTGGTTGCTTTCTCTTATTTTTTTTCGGCGCAGTCCAGAAGAAGAGCCTTTTGTTGTGGTTCCTGCGCTGTGGAAAATCTTGCCCTCAAGGTAAGATCTGCATCCACTCTTGGCTTTCCAAAATGCCTTGAAGTCATGGCTGTGCCAATTAGCATCTGGTCCCAATGGTGCTGTGGCACTTTGGAGGTGGTTAACGGAGTACATAGTACTCCATTCCTTCCTTTGTTTCCCTCCCTCTCTATCCTGTTAGTTTTATTTTAATTCATTGTTAAATCTAAGATTCTTACTTATTGTTTTAAAGTTTTATATTGCATTTGATTCAATGTCTGTAAGCTGCCTGGAGTTGCTCTTTGTGAAAAGGATGGTATATAAGATGAATGAATGAATGTGTAAACCACTCTTGGTTATCAAGGAGTCAGTTGGTCTCAAAATTGGATTAAATAAATAGTCTGCTAGCCTGGATGGAGATATGCTTTGTATTTTTATCTGCTGAGTCCAGAAATACTTTTCCCCTTTTCATTTATGCACTAACCATATCCAGTGAAGACAATGCAAAGCTGAACCTAGATCCAATTTTAAAGGAAGTTTGGCATTTGGTAGACCTGGTGACCTGTAAGGGCAGCATATCATTAATTACACAATAAACTTGCATTTTTGTTGATGGAGAGAATCTTGTTTAGCATATTCTGTCTCACAAGCAAAGGTTAATGCAAATGGTTTGTATGCATTGAAATCTATAGTATATTGTTTCATAAAATCAGTTCCAAAATGGTTTCAGGTATGCATCTTTATACAAATGTACTCGTCAGGTGGTGTCATATATTATGAATCTTTTAATAAGAAGCAAGGCAACCTTTTATGGACTTCACAGTTGAGTAGGGTCAGGTCAGGTCTTTGGAAAAAATAAAAGCTGCAAATTAGATGAGAAATTAAAAGATGAAGGCAACAGAAGCCATTTCTATAGCATTACAAAGAAAGTGTTAATGATTTGAGTTTTCAGATATCCCATATAGCTATAAAAATCAGGTTGTTCCTTTAAAAAAAATATGAAACACCGTTAAAAAACAACAATACCGTTCTGTTTCTCAAGTAGCAGTCATCTGCAGTGTAAGCTAGTTCATTTTTGAATTATGTGTAAACTATAGTAGAGTCATTTTGAGTCTTTTTCCTGAATTCAGTGGGTGCATATAATGCTCAATTCAGATCTCTTTGCTCTTTTGCTTTCTTTTTTTGTAACTAGAAAATTTGCCCAGAAATATCCTTTGAGCATGAGGAGAAAATAAAAAACAAAGCTTGGCAATATACACATTATTCTTGGAACAGATGGAAATGACTTCATGTACATAGTGATGTATAGAAGTGTAATGGTATGTGGGAATGACCTTGAGGGACAAGGAGAAAATATGCTGTCTGGGAAACAATCAGACCAGAGGGAAGAGCCTCTTGTTCTTAATGGAAAAAGAAATTTAGGAAGGACCTGCACTAATTGATCAGTCTGTTAAAAGTAGTGGCAGGATTTTTTCAGATTTGCAAAATTCTGTTAATGTAGCTGTATAATAAAGTACAGTAGACTTAGCTCACTTGGTCATGTTTCTTGTCAGGCTTACCTGGGAGGGCTGATGAGCAATGATTGATAATAAATGTTTAAATCTTCTCATATTTGCTCCATGAACTCACATGAAAAAGTACATATTTTTTAAACTTACATTTTTATCAACATGTAATTGGAGACTGGAAATTATCATCTGTACCTATAAACAAGAATTTTTATAATCATATCAGCAGTAAAAGATGGACTAGATTTGGAAAGGAAGCAAGCAGCAGGTTGTAGCTTCTTGACTGCTAAATGGATAGAAAGAATTTATCTTTAATTTTACAACCCATAGTGTTGATTAATATTTTTTAGTATTTTTTTAAATGACTTCTCATAGCTTTAAAACCTTTTTGAATATTATTTGGCAGAAGGACAATCCACAGGCAAAAGAAAAGTGAAATAATCACCTAGCTGGTTAAAAATCAAGAGCAGGTGGCCAGAAGATTAAAAGAAAACTGTTTTTAAATGAGAAGAGGATTTACAATATATACTCAACCTCTAATAAGTAAATTACATCAACATAATAGGGATTAATTCCTTAGCATTTGAAGTCTGAATTAGTGAAATCTTGATAAAAGTAATAAGGTCCAGGCGTATCATTAAAATATTCAGGATCATCATTTTTTTAGAATTATTTGTAGGCCAATACTCCTTGAGCCTTTATTTGCAAATTTGTCCTAGCATTTTTAGTAGCAGAGGAATCCCCAGGCGTACTGACAAAACAATGTTGCAGTGTATGCCCACTACTTTCCTAAATGTGTTGTAACTTGCATGCATGCATGCATAAAAGGGGAGGAGCTTGCAGTGTGATGTTGCAACTCTTCTACCTTTCCGAGGAACGCTTGAGCTCCTGTGGACACCATTGGTCAGCCGTATTACAAAACTATCCTCCTAAAGGATTTCATCTATGGTATTTTAAAAAGTTAAAAAAACTTCATGGATGGAAGTGCTTCATTTTATAGAATGGGTTTTTTTTAACTTCCCATCC